AAGAAGACGCGCCAAGAGCTGCTAGGTTAAAGAGGTCAATACCTTATTAATAGTATGTTGGGTGCTTTACGAAGGGCGCACCGTGCAGCTGTACGTCTAATTGCCATTCGGGTTGATTAGGACAAGTACAGTTTGACCACGGAAACGGGGTGTGGGGGAGGGGAAGGGGGGTCTTTTCGCAAGCTTAAGTCGAATAGCTCTGTTTGGTGTGGTTAAATTTCTTATTATTTTTAAAAATATAGCCCCCACACGAGATGTGCCTGTCATTCGATCCGAGGGTAGGGTTAATACAAATCCGTTCATTCTAGTGACTGCCGAGCGCAGCGAAGGCGACCCGTATTGGTTAAAAATAATTTCTTGTTGAGCGAAGCGAGGCGGCCCAAAACGACACCTGGTGCAGCCTTGCGGGCCTGCCTTGGCACAAGTAACCAACCAACCATGCGAGTAGTGCAACGAGCCCGCGGCGAGTGAAACGGAGGCATTAGGTACTAAAAATACTCATATGCCTTTGTCGCGTAGCGGCGGCGCTCGGCTAAACAACTACCACGATCAACTAGAGCATGTTGTGTGTCACTCCGTCCGCGGCTAGGGTTAGTAAGGGGGCATAGTACTCGCATTCACTGTAGGATAAGGAGTTATTTTCCCAGCTAAATATTTTACTTTCCTAACCATAATAATACAGGGGATAGTCAGACCAATCAATAACGCGTTGTCGACTTTTCAGCCAATCACGATGTGTTTTAAAATATCCCCTCGTTACGAGAACTTCAGTACAAAATTGCTGCTGTACCCTTTGGACAAATGATAATGATGAGTGGTGTTGTTCTATTTTCACGCTAAATCTTGCGACGCAATGTTTGAAAACTGTTTTCAATTGAATCTTTGGATGCCAACAACGCATCTCTGGGAGCGTGCTTAACACTCGACTCGTGTGTCATCTGGGGGCGACAGCTCCGGATATTGTAGGAGACCGCCAACTACGCGCAACTTGGCAACGCAGGTGGTGGTGGCTCTGCTGTACTTGGTGCAGCTATCACGCAAATACTTTCCTCCATCGAAACGATGCAACAAACGCTGCATAAGTCGGTCTCCATGCACGAAGCGACTTCGTCTTGTAACTGCACCGCTAATGGCACCAATGATACTGGTGTTGACACCAGTTGCGTACGTGAACCTTCCCGTGAAGATGTAATCGCTGAATCTCACTCGCTCGGGGAATGCTGGTACAATTGGTATACGCAGGAACTTTGGAACACTGCAACGGAAAAGAAACAGCAATTTGTGCGTGTCGATCTCAAGGCGCGCGTTAACGTGATGATGATAGGAGCAGGTCGAGATATCAACGTATCTTCTCCACTGTTGGACCGTGATGGAGTATCTTACCGTATGTGGGAGCAGGCGCTCAGGACGCTGGCGGAAGATATGAACCGCAAGACCAACAGGGCACTGGGCAACATTGACAGGGATGGAAACTCTAAGACGGCAAGATCTTTGCGGAAACGCTGGAGAAACTGGAGGCTCAAACATCGACAAGAATACGACGCGTTTTGTTCTGATTTCATCACGCTGAAAGCATGCAACAGCATTGTCGACTGCTTCACACCGGATACGCACTTGTGGAGACAAAAAGACTTGGAGTAGATCAAGAGAGTTGTATTACATACGTTTAAATAACACCTACACATAAAAGCATCAACAACAACACACACATATACGTAGCTTCTGCAGCTTGCTGCATTACTTTAGTTAGTGTTTATACAAGTGCAACTGCAAGCGACAATAGTTTACACACCATTCACCGAAGTAGAGCCTCCCGAAATCCAACAGTCGGTCTTCAGCTCGCCAAAAAAATGCATATCCCCTGCCCTGCCGGGTTTTGTTCACGTCAAACGCTTTGAACTGCGGTTGGCGACTTATCTTAGTCATCCGAACGCTTGGCGACGTCACTGAAGTCCGGTAGAGTCTGCCTCGGGTCTGTCGGCACTGAAGGGGGCTGCAGAGTTGCCCGAGTTGGCAGCACCTTCGCTTTGGTGGAGAGGGGAGCTTCTTTTGTGTCGCTCGGGCGGCTACCGATTAAAAAAAGTCGAGATGTTTTTCCATCTTTGGATCCAATAATCACAGCATAGTATTTTCAAGTGACTTGGGACTGAGTGATTTCTACTGGCTATTTACGATTGGGATCATATTTGGAACTGGTCGATTGTTGGCTGCCGAGCGGAGCGAAGGCGGCCCCGATTAGCTGTAATCCATTTATGTGATGTACATATAGTATGTGTTTCCACTTCAGATAAAGCGCATAGGGGCAAGTAACATGTTACAGTACACGGAGTGTGTTTACCGCGCTTCGGCTCGGGTGTGTGGTCCGAGCTGCGCCCTAGGGAGTGGAGCGGTGGGTGTTGTAGCTGCGGCGCTGGTCGCGAACTGGCTCGGCCAGACTTCTCCTCCGCCCGAAAGGGCGGGAGTTTTGGCGCTCCACGCGCCTGCACCCGACGAGATCTGGAAACCCCAGTTTCGACCTCGAAACCCCGAATCAACTTACCGTACCGGACCAGATGACCTTATCGGACCTGTGTACTGCACACATTTTGCTGTGTTTGCACACATTTTATCTCAGATAGGTACGATGTTTAGGGGAGTCAAATGCTGATGTGAATGGTTAAAGCGTACTGTTTTATTGGCGACATGAAGTGGCCCGAAACGCCCTCTGGGCTGAGAAAATCGCTATTTTGTATTTCTATGCTTTTTTTGCATAAGAGCCATGTGCTCCTAACCTGGCATATTCAACAGTGAGGCTGGATCTTCACGATCGTCCGGATAAATTGCCACTGTCCGGTTATTAAACACAAGCGAGAGCCAGTCTTCACAGCTACCACTGCCTATTGGTTAATTATCTGCCAGTAAAAATGCGCCACTTGGGTGTAAGATGGATAAAGAAAACTAGTGATCCTACTTTCAATCACGCCGTCGACGACAATGGGCGTTGGCCGTCAATCTTACTTTTTTCCTAGCTACTACCCCCCCCCCC